GTATGGGTAGCAGCATTTCTTAAGAACTACTCTCAGTTTAGGACCGGGTCCTTCGTCTATATGAATGATACCTGCCTCAAGATGGGAAGGACTCTAAGTGCCAGTGGTGATCCATCCCTTAACCTTTCAAAGTCCCCCCTTTGCCTGGGTGCCTTGTGGGGGCAACAATCAAGTTCCTTGGCTTTCTGTAAGTGTGGCATGAAAATTGACAGAGTGGGTAAGACTGACACTCTTTTCCACCTTCCTTATTATGCAAACTTTGGGTTGGTCTCTTTCGCTTAGTTAAAACATTAACAATTTATCACTTAAATCCATACCAATTGATGTATGTATTACCTATGAAGGATGAAGACTGTTTTAATTGCATTTGAGAGTAACTATCTTGTAATGGACAGAGTATTTTTTTCCTGCTTTCTAGAATTGAAAAGAAAGCCTGTGCTGGGAACCTTACCCACTATGTGGTGCATGCATGAGTGTGTAGTGTGATGTGTGTGGGAGTGTGTATTTTTACAGTGGGAATTAATCTGCAAAGAGAATAATCTTTGCTAGTAGCCTTCCTGAAAGGAGTGGTTTTTTTACTTTTGCTCAGTGCTGTTAATGGGAATCTGGCATATATCAGCAGGCTGAGCTTCCGGTGAACTGTGGCAAACTAGCAAGCGTCCACAACAGCACTCAGTGTTGTGGTTTTGCTAATTCTCAGAGCAAAAAAAAAAAAAAAACCTTCTCAAAGCACTCTCACCAACCTTCTGCTATTACCACAGACTTCTTATATTCTAAAAAGCTCCAAGGGTTGCTTTCATGGACTATGTACATAAGTGCAAAAAAGGAGTGTCTCACACATTCGCACCCCAACTGAGACAGTCAGGTAACGGCAGCATATGCTTCTTAACACTGTTCGGGGACCATTCTGCAGTATCTTTACGTGTGCTTTCACAAATACTACTTAATTTCAAAATGCTGAATTATGCTTTAATCCTCACATATCCTTGTATATTATTCCAGAAAATAGGATTCTTTTGATAGCTACAGATACTACATGAATAGGTAATTTTGAACGAAGTTATGAAGAAATGTCAGGTAATATATATGCCATGCTTATTCTGGTGTCAAAATACTGTATCACCCCTATCAACACAACCCGTGTGTTATAAACTTTGTTGTGTCCTATAAGAGGACACACGTCCAGCTTTCACACGGGACTCAGGGCTTCAAACACATCATCAGTTTTGAGCTCTATCTCCTCAATGTTCACACTGTCATGAACCACATATAGCTTACCAATACAAGTTTTACATGCACGCATGTCTAAAGGTAGCCATGTTGTAGTTTTGTTGCCAAAGCAACAACGAAATATATTTAGCTGACAACTATTATTTGTGTACCAAGCTAAACTTCCCCTTAAACTGTGAATTGTAGAGTGTAGTTATGGGCTGTAATCTATACTGTGTTATGGTACAGTGTCAGTTTAGAGCCTAAGAAATGGTGGAATAGCCTAATACGTGTAGTAAAAACTTAAACTTTCTCAAACTTTTCTTCAAAATTAAACTCATTAGTTACTGAGATATAAAAATGTAGTACAATAAAAACATTACAAACTAACACTAAAGAAAGACAACATGGCACCAGGTAGTGACTGGGTACTCGGGAGCCTCTCTTTACAGTTTGACTTGACTATTTGCTAAACTTGCAAAACAACTGTTCAACTCTTTTATCTATTTTATTCTATCTCTGACAGGCACTGGGACAATTAGGGCACTATCTTATTAAATCTACAAATCAAAATTGGGAATTGGAGCCCCCCATTTTACTTATTTCTATTTCAATGTAAGTGAAATATAGAAGAGCATTTTTTTTTTTTAAGGAGAAAGAGAACTACAGCTACTGATCATTCTGCATCCCACAGTCCATTCCACAGACTGACAGATCTCAGCAAACGTGGGCTGCAATTCACCTAAGGGCACCCTCACCATCAGTCTTCAAAGACAAGGAAAAGAACCAACTGACATGGCAAGGACCGCACGAGCTGCCTCAGCCACCTCAATCATTTCCTACAAGGTAGTGGAGACGCTGTTCCTTCTTCACACATCCCTGTCTGACCGGTCATGCCACCCAAAGCTAACTCAAGTCAAAAAGCACTAATTTCCTTTGGTTCCTGCTGATGGCTGAGAGCAGGCACTGTTTTTTTTTTTTTTTTTCCTGGAGATGAGCAGAGTTGAGGGCTCCCATCAGTGGACAACACTTATGGCAAGATGAAAATGCTTTCGCATGCCCAGAAATGGATGTGTAAGATGGATGGAACAGGAAAATTGCTTTCATGATCAGATGCAAATTAAAGTGAAATCTAGAAAGGTGACATCAAAAGCAACGGCTGGGTGTGGATTCGTGCTCCAATTTCAAAAGTAAACACTGGATTTCAATAGCAATTTCATGAATCTATTTAATTTCAGTCCCTATTTAAAATATTATGGTCTCACAGTGCTTTTCGTAAAAACCGAAACTAAGCCCTTCTTCAATGACATGTTTAGATTGCTTATTGTAGATTTGACATGTTTTATCCAGGTTTCAGCAGTCTTGCAAATTTTGGCAAAAGGCTGAGAATATGGACAAAACTGCTAATTCTGGAGAAATAAAAATAGAGGCCATTGCAAAACACAAAGACTACAAAATGCTAAGTAGGAATCACAACTGATTAGAATTTAGTTTATTTACAAATGATTGAGTAAATTTTTGTTTAGAGTCACTGATTTGTTGTGACTTGTCTTGTGAATTCAATTTATAGTCAAATGACTTGTGTTTTCTTCAATAAGACCATTAGTCATTGCACAACTAAAGAGTGCCAACTTTAAAGTTTCCTTTCTCTCAAAACTCGGTTAAATTTGATGGAAATGTTTGAGCTTTGAGCTTGCTTTCTTAAACTTCACATATACAGCAACTTTCAAAATGTCATCGAGATGCGTTGCACCAAAAAGACAACTACCCTGAATGTTCATCACTGAATCTCTTCCTAAAACTAAGTCAACGCTAGGATTTTCCAGTGCTTAGAGCAATGTGAGAACAGCGCTCCTCTAAGTCTTCAGCTATGTCTCTTTGTCCAAAGTTTAAGAAGTTCAATGAGATAGTATGTTGCATCAAAATGTCAAACTACAAAAAGTTCATTTTGCACAAAACATTCTCATATCTACTAAGAACTACATCTAGTCTAGCTCAGGTACATTCTTTCTGGAATGATGATTTTAGAAAACAGAAATTAAGTGGTTCAAAAAGCCCACACAGGTAAAAGGACACACAACTCTCTAAGTTGAGGCAATAATTAGCAAAGGGCAGAGGCCCAAATATACAAACAAGATGATTTAGAAATAACTGGTGAACAGGATTCACCCGGATAATTAAGATCAATAGGATACCAATCACCAGAGGGAATTTCTTTTTTTATTCTGAGCCGATCTGATCTGCTCTGATTTGGAGTCGCAAATGTTCCAATGAAAGATGTAAAAAGGAGGAACAATTGGTTCCCACGATGGTTAGGCAGCCTTAGGCAAGTCACACGGCCTGTCTCTCTGTTTTATCAACCATGGAAAAGGCAATAAACTCTTTGCCAACTCCACTGTTTTTAAAATCAATCCAATTACCTTAAGGTATCCCAAATGTTTTCTCTTTGCTCGTGATTTTTATGAAGAAAAACAACCTCTATATGTACAAAAATTTGATAATTTTATACCTTCCAATGGGAGAATACATATTGAGTAGAAAATATTAAATCTACTTAAGCTGTTGGAATATATTTCTTCCCTTTTATAATAATAGTAATATTAATAATAGCTATGTAAAGTAGAAAAGGTACACTATGTCACAGAAATTGATGGATTACTATTTGATATTTGTGAGATTATTTTGTAAGTATTAGTAAGAATTCATACCACACATCCATGGGATATTGCTATTCTATACTAGACAAATGATGATAAAACTGACTATAATTTTGAAGTGCACATAAAGGAAAATAAGTTCAAATGAGCCAAAAATAGGTTTTGTTCTGAGACATAAAACAACAAAAGCCCCCAAACTGATGTTAAAGTTTGGACAGGGAAACCCTTGTCAAAGCTTGCTACTTCACTGCAGCTTGTAGGAAACTGGAAACTCAGTGGAACTGAAGTGAAGGACAACTGGGGAAACCTTCTCTAGTTCTGCATAATCAGTCAGCCATTTTAAATGTCTCCCTGACCCCATCCCTGCCAGTTCTCCAAACCTGTACTCAGCTCTTTCTGTGATCAATAGAGAAGATTGTCTATTTGGGGAGGTAAGGCCTCATTTGGAAACAATTCTCTTTCACCTGGATTGACTTCTGCTAGACTTCATCTTATTATTCAAAGAGTAGTCTAAAGAACATGAGCCATTTGCATTCAGAAAATGGCACTTGTGCAAAAGGTTACAATGCAAAGGTTTTACACACTTTCTGCCAGTACATAAAAACTGTCTCCACGCCCACATCTCTCTTCTTGAATTACAACCTATGATTACCATATCTTTAAACGAGTAAGTACCAGTTTCTCAACTGAAAATGAAAATGGCTCAATTTTAGACACTCAAGCTGAGAGAAAGGATTCCTGTGACACAATAAATGTAACGGCTACTCTACATAATTTTTATACATGCTCAGATATTTACTAGAATGGGAATACTTGATTTTCAAATTATTTAAGAGGAACGTTTGAGGTTAACATCTGAACTTTCCTATCGTATGTGGGTAATTATTTTTCTCTTTTAAAAATTGAGTATATTATTGACTCTGCAAGGTCAGATCTACATGTAAAATTCTATGAATAGGTTTTGTGTATACTCAGAATTGAGGCCTGCTAAATGTATGCCTCAAGAAACTTATAGAAATGTTTTGAAGAGTGCATATGAACATGAACCTGTCATGTTTTTCAATCACACTGTTCCCCACTAATGGCATTTAATTGAAATCGAACACCACGTATAAACAACAAAACACTAGCATGGACAAGCCAAATAGAACCCAATTTAATACAATATATCAATGGGGGAAATAGTACTGGATATATTAGTTACATTCTACATCAATCCAATAGTCTCTCCTGTAAACAACACAGTAAGGTAACACTTCAGCAACAGAATTTATCCACCAAGAATGTACAGTAAGCTTATTACAGTACTCTGCAAGTTCATTTAACATCAATCATTTTGGGGAAAAAAAACTAGAAAACTTTATGGTTAACTTCAACGTGATAATCATATCAGATGGCTAACTCTTGTAATACGGAGCTGATAATTCAAATAAATGTCAAAGCTATATGGTCATATTCTATATGCTAACTCTTATACAATTAATAATTCATACTAGGTAACACACAGTGGCCAATTTTCTATTCACTTTAATATCTCCAAAGATTTTTGAATGCTTTATTTTCAATTTTCAGCTGGTGTATGTGCTTAATATATGGACTGCACCATGCTTATTGTCGTGTTGGTAGAAGAGGACATACGAGAATACATATAGAAAGGCCATATGGAGTTTCTTGCTGAGACATTCTGATACTCCGTAACTCTGCTGCTCAGAATTTCAACTGAAATAGTAAACAAAACAAGAGAATCAGTAAGAAATAGTGAAGGGTTATTGAACAAGGTGTTAGGAGACTAGTTCTTATTCCTTCTATAAGTGAACTAAGCCAAGATAGTCTCCACTGTGAATTTCAGACCCTATGTCTGTGACAGTAGGGCTAAGCCAAGCAATCACTAACCAGACACATACCTAGGACAGTCTATGGGAGGTTCCCATGGTGGGCCGTATTTTAAGGCATTACCTAATAATGCCTTAACCATTTTGCTCATGAACCAGCCATCAGTTTATCTTATTCATCAGACAGGTACCCCTAAGATGTACTTAATACCAAACACTTTGAAAAGGTTCAATAGTAAACAAAGATTTACACTTTTAGCTGAATATCTTACACCCTTGCAGAAATATCTCCAGTAAGTCATATACTATTATACAAAATGACATTTTTGATATTTGGAGAAATTTTTTACACTGGTTACATGTGAAAATTGTATTCTGCCAAATGTCCTATTTTTTAAAGGAATCAAGTAGAAGAAAAACAATTCTTCAAACATATTTTATGTAAATCCATTTTGTTTGGACTTTCTTCACCTATGAGAAATGACCAAGTATTGGACAAACCTCCACTGTCGTGTCTAGAGAGTTCTCAATTTGCTACTATCCCAAATAACACCTGTGAAAACAATTCTAACTTCCAGCTCCTTCAGTTCTTCCATGTCCTTTTAGAACATTCCTTATGACTGATGGGACCTGCTTATCTAGTGTATAATAGCTATGGGCTTTTGTCTGAAACAGTGGTAGAAACTTAATAATGGGAGATGGTGAGTTAGGGAAGCAGCAGGCATGTCAGCTACCTCCTCCAACCATGTGACAGACCCAATGTGAGAGTCCTTCAAGCTCTCTACACCTACAATTGTATGGAGCAGGTTCATTTGTTAGGTCTCTAGAGTTCAGGTACCTAGGATTTTTAAGTATCTTCAACAGACATGTTCCATGTGAATGAATGCTTGAAATCAGTGTGTGCTGCTAATGGTCCCTGGACCAGGCAAAGGAGAGGTCAAATGTTAAGGCTGAACAAAGAATGAAAATGATTACTGGATTGCTAAATTATTTTGTATGTCATTCAAACTTCCAAACAGCTAATGCAATTCTACTTATCTTACATGGGAAGCAACATACTGTATGTAACCTACAGAAAGAGCACGGCTTTTTGTACTTACTCAAAAACATAACACTCACTGTCTTTAACATGATCATATCAGCCAAATTTTGACAAATTTACTTTGTTACTTAAACAAAAAAAAATGAAGCTTAAAAAATCTTAAAAATTCAGCCCAGTGTAGTGGTGCATTTCTTTGATCCCAATACTCAGAGACAGAGTCAGGCAGACCTTTGAGTTTGAGGCCAGTCTGGTCTGCAAAGTGAGTTCCAGGACAGCCAGGGCTACAGAGAAATCTGGTCTTGAAAACAAAACAAACAAGTAAAAAAGTTTCAAGAATCAAAATTCAAATGTGATTTGCGCCTTCGGCTTAAAAAAATCTTGCCCCTTTGAAACTAGTAAAACATTACAGAGTCTATGAGCTCATTAGAAAAATATAGTAACAGCTGTCATCTCTATATCAAAAAATCATCTTTCTGGCATTTCAGTTTCAAAATTTTGAATTCAGGCAAATTCGAGTTATGAGCAATGTCTTTACATGAAAATGTTTACTCAAACCTTAGCAAATACAACTGTGTAAATAAAAGATACAACCTACAAATATCTATTAATACTTAAAGAAACTTACTGTTCTACTGGTAACTTCTACATCTGAGAAACAAACATGCTCCTATTCAGTTCATCTACTGAAAACTGGGGCATCTATAGTAGTAAAAAAGATTTTAGATTAAAATGATTTCTTAGGAGAATCCTGTTTATTTTGCTCACTCCTTGAGTTTGTTACATTAAAATGATGATCAATTTCACTGAAACCTTTAAGCATATTTACGATTTCCATTGTGTCCATTTTGCAGAGCAGAGGTTGGAGTGTGGTTTATCCATCAAATGAATGTTGTGTGCTTCTTGACTATCATGCTGGAAATTTAAGTAGCAGCTTCGGGGCAAGTGAGCACTTTGATAAGGCAGCACGGGTATCACAGTACTCAGTAGCTACTGTACTAACTGCCTCACAACTTCAAGATTTCCTAAAAATTGGCCACTTGCCCATGACTCTGCCTGAAAAATCTAAACCAAATGGAAGTGGAAACAACACAAGCACATCTAATGTCTACAAGAGAAGGGATTTCTGATGCAGTCACTGGGTGATAATAAAGATGCGCATTCCTTGGAAAGAAATGTGATCGCATGCTTTCTTTCCAGTGGAATTGCAAGTAAAGGAGATGTGTTTACTAAATCTAAGTTCAAACACAATAACCAAAAACAAGGGGGGGGGGCTGTAAATTAACTTTTCCTCTTCACCAAGATGAGAAAGCTTTTAAGACATATTCAGTACAGCATATACACTTGAGGATTGGTGTGGTAGCAATAAATTAATATAGAAAAACATGAATAATATCTGCTTACCAATTAACAATGGGGAAAATATTGCCAAGTAATCCTGAGAAAATTGAAAATCATATACAGTACCCTAATTATACATAAAAAACAAAAGTTCCAAATCTAACAACTGGTTAAGAAACACATAATCACATGGACTAATAACTTTCACCAATCCAAAAGGCATATACTGTGCTTTTTCAACACATTGTGGTTATCTAAGTCTGAACAGATGAAATAAATGGCCAAACCTGATTGCCTGTAGTTGTTGGAACGAAGGGAACGTTGGTGGCAGGTGTTGCTGCTGCAGACACAGTGGAAGGTGTAGCACCGTGCATCATGGGCACTTTCAGTAGGAAATCATGGAAGCAACACATGGAAGGGTGAAGCATTTACACAACCATGACAGATACGATGGAATGGGGCATAGTAGATATCCCAGCAACAAGCCACGTAACATCATCATGATGGATATACACCAGGGTGCAGCATGCAATCAAAGTCAGTGCAAAGCAGCACAGCATGGAATGGAGGAAAATTTAAAGAGAGAAAGGGGAAAGCCAATTATAATTACCATTAAGGATAACAGCCATTCTTAACATTTTGAGCAACATAACATTGTAGTGTATTCAAAAGGATGAATTTTCAGGACGGGTTGTAATGAATGCATATGAAAAAATTCTGCTGTTACCAGGACTACCTAGTAAAGCTAGCTAAGCAGACAAGTCACTGAGTTGAACAGTCAAATTTAATTAGGGTATTGTCAACTGGTGTTTGACTTCACTGGCAAGTGCTGTTACTAGATTTTTCTGGTACAAATGGCAGTTTTACGTGTACTTACCTGCTCAGCATATAAAAAGAACAGTGGTTCTGTCGGGTATATGATAGAAGAGAGGGTATGAAGAATACAGTGGACTACGTATTCAGCTTGGTAAGTTCCTTGGAAATTTTCGCTATTGTCAAATACTCAAGTGGTTCATAGTAAATCTTGTCTTCAAAAGAAGTATTAGAGCTACAATGGCTAGCAGCTGCAAAATCCTTTTCAGGATGTTTTGCTTTGCTTTGCTACTTTCTATTTCATTCTCAAAGCTTTTGGATGCTTTTCTAATTTACAGCTTATTTTGGAAATCCAACCAGGGAATTAATGTGTGAATGGGAAGCATACATATATAATAATTTATCAAGTCTACCTCAGTCAAATTCAGATTTCCTGAAAGTCTACTGGCAAAGTGAATGGCCGAGAGGAAAATGCAATCAATGCCAAAGTAAGTAAGACTGTCCCCCAAATAGTGATTAACAGAAACTCCATAGCTGTCCCTTTTCTCCATCTCTGGCTACTCATTTCCTCCAGTCATCCTTCATTGTCTCACGAGCTAATTCTAAAACCACTCATGTTTCTCCCATTGGAAGTACAGCAACTGTGCAGGAAGCAGCAGTGCCAACGCATGCAATTGCATTCATAAGTAGAGTTCTGAAAGGGAAGGGACAAGGAAGCAGCCCCAAGAAACAGGTCACAAATTGTGAAAGCAGAGACACATTTCTCAAAGTTGCAGATGTCTGTTCTTCCACTTACATTTACAGAATGTTCCTGTTAGTATCAACGCAATGCTAATTCCTATGGTGACAGCTAATCCTTCAATAACAGGCCTCATCCTTTTGCCAGGGTTCAGATCTTGCTGTATTTGTGCTGTTTCTGTGTGGTCATCATTTTGACCTTTCTTTTTTTTTTTTATCTCAATAGCTCCGTAATCACTTTAACCTAGCATTGGGATAGAGGTCAAGCTGTTGCAAATTCTCTAAGATGAGAGGAACTGAGTTGGTAGGAGAAGCCAATATGTGTTCCTTTTCCCCTACTCTAAACAAAAGTAATTGCTCATGATCTGTTTCTGGCTCCCATGAAGACTATAGGAACTGTGACCTCCCAGTGGCTTTCTCATTTTCTTTTCTATTCATGAAATACAAACTCGCTTAGGGAAGGCTACCATACTGTGGTGGTGGCTAACTAAAAAACTGCGCGCAACTGGTTATTCCACTTGATCTTAGCCAAAAGTCTGAGAGGATATGACTGGTAGTTTAAAAATCACATGGCAGATGATGCTCCATCCCTGGATACTACAGAATCCAAAAATGGGCTGTAGAGATGGCTCAGCCATTAAAGAATAAACTCACAACCAATATATGTATATATATGAATCCATTAAAGAACACGGCAGGATGGTCTAGCTTTAAGTCATCCTTTCTCAACATCTTTGTAATAAATGCTTACACTATAAAGGTAACTTTGGGAGGTGATTGTTTCATTGCAGTTTACAAATTATATATTTGAAATGTAGTTTTAAAATAATAGCTACCAGACTAAGAAAATTATCAAGTTTCACTGTGGAAAGAAACATTTTAATATTTCAGTTGCTGTTTTTAGGATAGGAATGGAAAAGGCAGGGCTAAAATTTGGCTACAGTGGCAACCTACTAGAACCTGAGAAATAAGTCTGCTTTGATTCCAAAGAATACCATATTAAACCCCAAATACTCAGAAAATGTCCACTCACATCACCTTGTCACTTAAGTGTTTATAGCCACAGTAGAAAAACGCTTTTAGGTTAGAGAAAGTTGAGAATTTTTGTACAAAACCTACCAAAAGTTGAAGCGGGTGCCATGCACAGTATTGGCCCTGTACACCATGCAGAAAGCGTGGAAAGTAAAGAAAAGAGAGATTTCATTATTCAGGCCTTACAGATAGAGGTGAATTTAAACTAGAAAGATCATTTTTGCAATATCAATGAATCAGAACATGCAGACTAGTAATCACCCATGCTCATAGTTACAGGTTAGATTGAAGACCACAGACCCAGGGAGTAAAAGTAATTTGTAGGTTAAAAAGAACTTTATGTTTTCTTTAAAGAATTGAGTCCAGGGCTTTGCACATGCTAGACAAGTTCTCTATTAGACATACGATCCCAAATATTTACTTTCACTTAAAAATAATTTCCAAGAGTTAGAGGCTAAAGCTAACAGCTTTATATACACTATAAATTTACTATACATTTAAGGATTTTAAAAATTATTGATCTTGTTATATCACAGTTATATGGACTACAGAATTTTCCACATTGAAGTTGGAAAATGCTTTTGACAGATAATTCCTATCTATGAAATAATGACTACAAGTCAAGTAATTAGATGAGATAAATTCAAGTGTATCAACCAAGTGAATCAACCTTCAGAAGCAAACAAAAACTCTTCTAGTTTAATTTCCATCATTTCCAAAATCATATGTTATTCTAGATAATAGCAAATTAAGTATAATTGTTTTATTTTACTTGTAGTCAAAATGCATGATGACTATCCTCCAACAAAAGCCCTTTAGAAGCTGCTTTGTAGTATACATATTCAAACTGCTAACCTCTAGATTCCCAGAACTGTGCTCTCACCTGTAGGGATAAATGCCGGCTGCGGAATCTGCATGTTAGCCAGAGCCTGTTGGTAGTGGAAAACATTGGGATTAAAGACCGGGGTGGCACCATTGGCCTTATCAAGGGCTGACCTCTTTGGTATCAGTTGCAGTGCACCAGGTGGCAGGGCCTATAGAAAAGGGATTAAACAGTCATTATTATCAGAGAAGTAAAAATGTCCTCAAACCAAGCAAGTGCCAATTATCTAAGATACAACCTGGGGAACCAACACAGGGTATCCACGGAGCAACACTTTACATAAGTAGTGGGTCCTCAGCAGGGAAACAGCTACAAAGACTAGCTGTTTCAGTGCAAATAGTTAATATGAAACAGAAATATAAAAGGAGCAGGCTGTTTCATGTCCCTAATCAATAAGACTTGGGACAGGATGTGATAGAAAACTCGAACAGCAAATTGTCCTACACAACTTACTTCTTAGATGGAAGTAACAATAGTAAACAAGTAAGCAATAGAGAGAAGAGCAGAAGTGACAGGTAGAGGAGACCAAAGATTCCTGTCTATTCAAGTCCCAGCATGGACGGAGGGGATAAATGGCTGCAGACATTGGCATTATAATACTAGAGTCCTGAAAAACAAAATCGAATTTAGACAATGACCCCAGGTTCAAATCTTCTAAGTGTATATGGAAAAACTCACCTGTAAGAAAAGGCAGGTGAATCATTCCTCTCTATCACCTATCTCACTCTTGTATTATAAATTTAAGAAAAATGTAAAGCATTTGCAGTTTTTTTAAACAGAGGCTCTCTGCACAGTTTAGTATAAAATGTTTGATTCATTAAATATTCATTAGTTTTAATTCTAAAATCTATCAAAACTTTTAAGCCCTTCTTCTATGTCTTTTTTATTTTTATTTATTTATTTATTTATTTTATTTATTTATTAAAGATTTCTGTCTCTTCCCCCCCAGCCGCCTCCCCTTTCTCTCCCTCTCCCCCAATCAAGTCCCCCTCCCTCGTCAGCCCAAAGAGCAATCAGGGTTTGTTTAACATTACTTTGCATTTTTCCTTCAGCAAAATATGTGCTATTTCAGTAAGTGCCAGCAACACTGAGGTGTGCTTCAAATGCCTCAGGAGACAGGAACACTTCAACGGAGAAACTAGCCTTCCAAGGACCAAAACGAGTCATGCCATGACCTCCTGATGCCCATGGATACTAAAAGCCTAAAATGATCTATATTTTCTTTTGAGAACCCTTCCTTTGATGAATACATTATTTTGTTTGTCAAAATAAGTCAGATGAAAATAAACCAAGTAGCTTTAGTGATGCATAATTTCCAGCTTTCTCTGAGAACAGATTGCAAAGTTCATGACAGATACTCATTTGTAAAATGCCAGTTATCATTCCAAATGCCTTTTTTTTTTAAACCATCGAGGTGAAATGCATTCATTGAAGATTTTACCAGAGCAGGACAGGAGATTCCTCATTTGCATGCACATATAATTTGGTGATTATAGACTTAGGGTTGCACAGGTAAAATGAAGCTTATTTAATTTTGTCCCCCACTGGGAATATGGGTGGAGATCTTGGTAGCAAAAATCAAACAAGCAAAAAATGTGGCAAGCAACATATCAAAATAATTCATAGTTGTGAACCATTTGAGTAATTTTAACTTTGACTTCTAACACTACAGTGTTACAATTAGTTTTTCTCCTTACTTCAGTTAGCGTTATCAATCAGAACTAACTCTTGCCCATAACTGCCTGCTAGAGCAATTCAAAGGAGAGGTCTTTTCCCTCAGTCATGTCCAAATCTCCCTGACGATATGGCTGCCTTCTGCCTTGATCTTCCCTTCTGTCTGCACCATACAGCCAGAACAGAAAGGTAATCTTGACCTTTGGGAAATTCGAGCTGTTTAATACCCTATCTTTTTGCACTGTGTTTTCAAAGGGCATTAAGAATGTGAGTAATAAAGCATCCTTGAAAGTGGCTCATAGAAAACAGAGGCAACTCTGCCATCTTTGAATATTCAGGCTAGTCAGACTATAACAGGCACTCAATATGATTTACTGTTTAAAACATAGAATTTACCTTTCTCTAAAATTAAGAAAAAAAGAATAGTGAGTTAAAAATAATCATGAATAAAGCTTTTAAATAATTATCTTTAGAAAATCTTAGCAAATAAAGTAGAATATATAGGTTCTTATTGTCTAGCATATAACTTTGGCTATTCATATTAAGATACACTCGAGTAGTCAGTCTTTCGTGCATGCAAAATAATAGACCAAGTGGGCTTACATGAAGCCCACAGTCCTAACTTGCTCTTACCATTGCAGCAGCCGCTGAATGGTTCATCTGGTGATGAGCCGCCTTGAGCTTGGCTTGCAAGTGGGGAGGAGGATGAAAGTACTTGCATTTCTCCCGGGAGCATCGGCCCTTAATGTAATCCATGCAGATTGTGACAGTATTGTCAGACACTTCAATCATAGAAACATCAGTAGGGTGAGCATAGCGACACTCACTCTCCCCACGGGTACAATTTCCACGCTGAAATTCACGGCAAACCTTAAATAGGAAAACAAACACACATACATTCCCAGTGATGAGTGGAAGGTGACTGGCTTTATTTACTTTCCATGAAGATATGAAGGTCACATACACATTTTGTCATTTATGTAGGAAAAATAGCTAGAAAACATGAAAGGTAACAGAAAGCAATATTCGCCCTAAGACAAAAAACATAATTTTTTCTATTCCATGAGGGGTGTGGAAGTCACATTTTCCACAAAATGTTTATTTGCCTTACACTGACATAGTAGGACCTAAAGTATTACTGAAAATGTGTTTGTACCTTTAATCCCAGCACTTGGGAGGCAGAGACAGGTGGATCTCTGAGTTCAAGGCCAGCCTGGTCTACGAGAAAATGTGTTTGAATCCTGAAGTAAACATATACCCTCAAATGTAATTATTTAAGGCCTAGGGTGATTCTTCAGCACACAGCAATGTTACATAGCCAATTTGTAAACCACATTGAGTCATGTGTATATTTAGATTCCACTCTAATACATGATTAGGGATTCAATTGGTTGCCAATGAAGCTGACTTTCTAAGAAATAAACCAGTTATTTTTTTCTAGCGAACAAAGAATAGCAATTAAAGGAAAATTAAAGGGTGCCAATAAATCAAAGGATGTTTGAAATTTCTTTTAAATTCTTTAGGTTTCATATTTTCTATGAAATACATAGTTCTTCACAGGAGAGAGTGCTTAGATGCTATTCATAACCCACATCCATACAGCTTCACATTCTATAACTGTAAAATGTTAGTTTCATTTTTTTCAGTTTATCATTCTAGAAAGTAAAGACTCATAAGCAAATCCAGTTAATCCATTCTATAAAGCTCCAGCATGGGTATAAAGAAAATTCTCACTCAGACTTCCTATAGAGTGGCTCATGTTTGGGTATACTTGAAACAGTGTTTGACCTACTGCACAACAAAATACATTCACTTCAGAACAAGGTCTAACTGAAGTTAAAAAAAAAAGGTTAACATTCTTTCTCAGACTCCTTATATGCTAAAAGGTACTCGGATATACTTATTTAAAACATTCAACAAATTAGGCTCTGAAAATGTCCATTAAGCATAATGTTAATATCCATTCTACAAGCATTTTTATATGTATCCACAAATACCTCCAGTCTATCTGTACGAGCTGGCTTTGGGGCAGGAACTCCTGGCAATGCAAGAGGTGGATTTCCAGGAAACAGAACTGGAGTATTTGGTAAAAAATCAGCAGGAACCAGGCCCATCCCAGGATGATGCATGTAAGGATTGAAAGCCATGGCAGGATTAGCTGCAAGCGATGGATTCATAGGAAAAGATGCCTGTGTTCAAAAGAGAGAAAAAGAGGTAAACATATCCTTCTTACTATTTATTACACCGGGCATTCTTAAAGAAAGCATTTCCTAAGATACTATTAGCTTTTCTTTTCTTTTTGAGATTCAATAATCAAATTATTTTATTATATTTATTATATAATTATGTCTAAATTATGGAACTCCTGTTATCTGATCTCTTCTTCCCTAATAGGGATCCTCATAGCATTTCTAGGGCTACCTTTTGAACTATGAGTATCATCTACCCCCTAGATAAAGACAAGGCTGGGTAAGAGAGATTAGTTTATGAAACAAGACTGTAGTAAAATAGTAAAAATACAATAAAGTAAAAGTAAAATGGCAATACTATCCTCATTTTAGTTAGATGGTAAATTGGTAAAGCATTCACTTTTTCTAAATTACTGTTTCCTTTTTCAAGTCTTCTATAAATATCAGTTGGCCAAGAAAAGAAAGAAGGCCACTGTTAGGTGATTGGACATGGGACAGGCAGCATTACAGCTGGGAAGAGAAAGGAGAAAGTGAAAGGAAAAGGACTCCCAGCAGTACACAGAGTCCACATTTAAAGGCATGGCTATGTGAGGAAGCAAGAGAAATCTTGTTTATATGTACTGTCATTCATTGGTAAAATTACGGCTTTTTCAAAAATCGGCTTACCAGTAAAGTTCATGCCTATAGATGTCGTTTTAAAAGCTATTCCTATGTGGGAACTAGTAAAACACACACACA